TGCCCACCCCCATCCCCCCACCCCCGCCACACTTTTCCAAAGCGCAGGGAGAAACGTGTCTGTGCGTTGTATTTCCTCTTGTGCACCTAGTTAGAGGATGACATTGTGCAATTGGAAAAGCAATTGCACGTGACGGAGGATGCGCGGGACCAGGTGCTGGAGGAGCTGCACAAGGCGGAGGACAGCCTCCTCTCCGCCGAGGAGAATGCCGCCAAGGTATCGTGCCCGCGCCACGAGCACAGCCGTCTAACTGCCTCTCCCTCTCTCTCTCTCTCTCTGTCCATCTGTCCTTTGCTGTCTCTTCTGCACCCGCACCTCTCCCTTTGCACGATCACGCTGCCTGCCGCACCTTTTCCTGCCCGCCCTCCCCTCTCCACCGCTTTCCGCCCGTATCACAGCTGGAGGACGAGCTGGTGGCTCTGCAAAAGAAGCTGAAGGGCACTGAGGATGAGCTGGACAAATACTCCGAGTCTCTTAAAGATGCCCAGGAAAAGTTGGAACTGGCTGACAAAAAGGCCACAGATGTAAGTTACCCCCATCACCACCACCCCCCCCCCGACACAGAGACTGCCCGCACACCCCTCTGCACAGGACGGCCCAGAACCCCCCCCCGCCGCCCACCCAAACCCGCCGGGGTAGGTCCTGGCGCCTCCTGGACGGAGGGGTGGCAGACCCCGCACTGCCTCCTTGCATGAGGTTTGCACACTAGCAGAAGCGTTCGGTTGGGTTTCTGCTCGCTCGACACGTGCTTTTCCTGTGTGCTTGTTACTCCAGATGTGAAAGTAAAGGAAGGGCTGGCTTGTCCTTTCAGATGATGGGGAGAACAGCTCAGGCTGGAACAACCGTGCTTTGATAATCAGCAAAGCAGAACCAGGGAGCTGGCGGGAACTATTGCCCCGTGGCTCCAGAAGAGCAGGGGCTGCTGGCTCTGTTTTCGAGAGCACGGTTCGCATGTGTTAGGGCTGCTGTAGATACTAGTCTGGCTCACCGGTCCCCACGTTAAAGGTTTAAGGTACAGTCCTAGTTCTTCTTTTTGGAAATCACTGGGACTTTGTCGCTTGTCAAAGCAAAGTTTAGTCCTACGTGGGAGAAAACTGCCTGGAAGACGATACTTGCTGGGTCTGCAGTTTGGAGGACAGGGATCCTGGGCGCAAGGATATATATAGCTCAGCACTTTATATGGTAATAACGTAAGAGCCCGCGCCCCTCCCCGGCCCTTACCCCCCACCTGTCTGCCCCTGACGTGCATCTAGCGCATTATGTGCAGGGAACTATTTAAGTTGACTCTTTCTGCAGTGAAGGTGCAGATCACTGTGGCTGCTGCTGTGCAATCCAGTCGCTCTGAGTGAATCTCAGGCCTGAATTATAGGATTAGGTGAAACCACAGCACTTTCCAAGTGATGACTGCCCTTTTCCTATAAGTCAGCTTTTAAAATTAACCTCCAAGCCATAATAAAAGAGGAGTGGCCACAGATAAAGCGAGCAAAGTATTTCAGGTGGAGGAAGGATACTTTTGGAAGGCGAAACATCGGTAAAACGAACTTGGTATGAAAGCCAACAGGCTTTTCTGTGGGTTTACTTTAAAAACGAGCAAATGCCAGCACAGGTTTAGCCTCAGTACAGCAGTGAAGTTGCATAGCTTAACGTGAAAGAGGACTCAAGACTTAAACCTTAGTGAGAGAGAGGTTTGGCGTGTAACGCGGATCAGATGTCTCTCTCCTTCTGTGCGCGGCTGCATAGACGAGGGGCAGCTTCCTAGCAGGACGTTTATTTAACTTGTTCAAAGGAACCGCACATAGATCCAAGGGAGATATTCCTTATAAGGAAAAGTATGCAGACTATTTGGAAACAGCTCGCCTAGGATGAAGGCAAGAGGGGAAAGAGAAACGCTGCTAGGTTCCTTTTCTGAAAAGAAGGCGCTTCCCAGCCCGTGCCAGCGCTGGCCTGCTGTGCTGGCACAGGGCGCCTGGGAGCGCGCCGAGGTCGCTCACCCCGCAGCAGCGCGCCT